CCCGATCCACCAGAGTGGCTGCAGCACGCGCTGCTGTCCACGCCATAGCACCTGTGCCTGCCTGGGTCAAAATCAGCGCGGGACGATTAAGCTGTGGTAGGAATGGTGCAACCGATGGATGGACGCAAGGTTCCATACCCGACAGATTTTGGCGCAAAAAGTTGAACGATGGATCTGCCGCGTCAGAAGGTGTCCCGGCACTCACAGCCAACAGAACATCTCCCGATCCGATGAACTGGTTCAATTCACCCGACCGAAGCACACTCGCCGCTTGATTGGCTGTGGCGGCGTTCAATGATACAATATTCGTACGAGTTGCGAACGGATTCTGACTCGAACCGAAACGTCCCGAGCGTGAGCACACGTAACGACAACAAAGAACACAAGTGGACAACGAGACTGAGGATTCTAAAATTCCAACCAATAGCAACAAGACATGTAAAATCACCTGGCAGGTACGAAGGTGTGTGTCCTGGGACGGATTAACAAAGTGAGAAGAGGTTCGATCGGAATAAAGTTGACGGATTGCACCCCAACTGAGACGACTAATTGTCCGATTGTCCGGCATTCCGTGGTAAGTTAAACTATAGAACTGGTCGGACTTTTGCAATCCACCCGGGGACGGATGAAATGAATACGTCAGTTTGATTGTCTGATGCTGAGAACGAGATCGAAGATTGACGTGGTCCAGGAATCCATCCTCAATTGTACCCGCCACGGACACACATATGAGCAAACATGCTGCAACTGTTACTACAACACATAGAGTGAGTAGACCAGTCAGAGTGCACACGATTGGTCGTCGGGAAGCGATTAAACCTTGTGTACCAGTGATGAGCATTAAAAATCCGGCCCACATACCAGTGGCCATTTGATACAAAAATACGGCCTTGGTCAGAGCCACACTAGAGAGGATGATCGCGGCAAAACCACATAACAGTTGGATCACGCTCAGAACGAGCAAATTTTCATTCGGAATACGGCGACGACGCCAACGGTTCCAACGCCAACCGCACCAAGACGATGAAAAACATACTGAGGAGCAGGATGAAGGTAAAAATTGAATGGCACATGTATTACACCGATTCGGAGTTGACTTCGAGGGAAAACACTGTGTTTGACAATGACAACAAGGGACACCGCACAAACAACATGAAGACGAATGCTCTGCTTCCGGATAGTCAGTGATAACTGGAGTAGATGGCTGAGAACTAACAGCCGTTCCTGGTCGTGTTATGGAGACCGTACTCAAATCACCTTCAACAATGTCCGCAGACTGAGTAACATGTACGTTATTACTTGTTGGGGCACAGTGGATAACGGATGGATCGCAATTCGCCTCTAATACATTAGTCCGTGGAGCTGATGCGGTAAGTGGGTGGTCACAGAATCCTATCCGATAGTCAGCATCCAGAACACGATTGGATTCTGCTCGTTCGCGTATTCGGTTGGATCTCTTTAGTGCCAACTCCCCCGACGTATGGGCGAATTCGGATTGTGCGGGCGAGGAGTTCTGATCATTGGATTCCATCTGGCATAACCCCGAGCCATTTGTCGGATTGTAGGCTCTGATCGGAGTATGATCACATGCGTTCGCCGACTGCTTTGGAAGTAGCGACTCACATGACGCTTGTCGAATTGGACATCCTCTTTCGCTAGTGGAAACATGAGCTTGCTCGGTCGAAAAGGTCTGGAAATAAAAACGATGTCGCATGAATGCAGCGCATACATGTGAGTTTTTCAATTGATAAACAAGAATCCAAACACACTGCAGCACCGACACAATGAACAAGAAAGATCTCTTCAGACCATTAGCTCGGAACGGCTACACCCGTAACTTTATCAAAAGAACTCTAGCTCAACGAAGGAAACAAGCAACAGACGGAGAATCAGGAGCAATAACCCTGTCACACATCAAGAAAGCTTTAAGGCTGCTCAGATCATACGAAATTCAACGACCCACAAACTGACTGCATGCCTATGAAGAATTCCTTCAAAACCAAGAGAGCAATACAAGAACAATGTAATCTACTAAATCAACTACAAGGACTGTCTAAAACACTATATTGGATAAACTGGAAGAAAGGGATCAACAAGGGTCCGTCAACATAAACTGGTAAACAGAATCCACGATCCACGATCACTACCAAGATCAGGAACGACATCAATTCGATGTCGATTNNNNTCGATTCAGTGAGAATCATCGACCAAGCCCGGTCAAAACAGGCCAGAAAATTTCTTGGGGCTTGGCATTCATCAATCAAACCAGTAAACAGGTCACGTCGTGATCAGATTGTTATCGCATTTCACATTGAACTGTATTAACTTTTCCAATTCTTACCTTTTAGCTACTGTACTACAATTTTTAGATGATTAAAGCCTACATTTAGTCCGACTCCTCTCCTCGATTACTCAGTATTATTCGAATACAACAATTTAATCCTCTAACAATGGAACGTCTCTTCCGACTCGAACGCCTTGGCGTGGATCCTCATTCTCCTACAACAGCCGAGCAATGGATCCACTGGCCGGACACCGTCGATCATTTTCTTTCAACGGTCGAGATCTCCAAAGTCGACAGAAGAAAACTCCATATCAACTGTATCTCCCCAGCGATTTACCGGCAAGTTATCGATTGCTCTATCTATGAGATGCTACAAAGCATAGCTCTGTATATCAAACTGAAAAACGAAGTCTTTGCGCGCCATGTATTAGCTACAACTAAACAAGAGCATGGCCAATCGGTCTATCAATTTCTACAGAAACTACGCAGCCTCGCTGGTGACTGTAACTTCTTGTCCGTTTCTGCTGAAAAACATCGTGACGAGGCTATCCGCGATGCCTTCATCACAGGACTAATGTTTAATAGCATTCGACGACTTTGGAGAAGTACAATTCTGATCTTCAACACGTATTTAAAGAAGCTCGTATGTTGGAGCATACTCTGATTCGTCCTCCTATGTCCCTTTCGGTACCACATCCATGCAGTCAGGTGTAGCTGCCTCGGTTCCTCTACGAGACACTTCAGAACCACAACCCGTAAGACAGGGAGTAATCGCAGCAGTATCTACCCTCTGCTTTTTCTGTGAGCGACCAAGACACCCTCGCTCAAAATGTCCCGCCCGGGAGGCTATTTGTAATTCATGTGGGAGGAAGGGGCATTTCCAGGGGGGTCTGCCGATTCAATTCCGAAAACAAACGCACAATTTCAGCAACAAATCCCAGTATCTCATCACTCATCGCTATGTCATCATCCACTGGGCTGTCTAAATCTACAGTGCTGGTTCACATTGACGGAGTACCGCGGTACGCGCCTATAGACACTGGTAGCTGCGATAGCCACCTATCATCGGATATTCTGGTGAAATATAACTGGTGCGTAGGTCCTTCTAAAAGCACCATATCCATGGCTTCGACGCGCCTTCAGGACATGTTTACGCCTCTGCACACTAGAAAAAGGGTCACCATGACGGAATGAAACTTCCCCTTTTAAACAATCTGTGTACCGATGTAATTTTGGGTCATGATTTTCTCAGCCAAAACAAAAACAGTAATTACCTTTCATGAAGACCAATGTGTACTATGTATTCTCAAGGCTGCAAACTTTGATGTGCCTTTCCTATTTAGGTATTTATCTCCCAATTGTGTTCCCACTGCTATCAAATCACACCGTCACTCGGCCTCAGATCAGGCATTCATCAAGACCGAAGTTCGAAAAATTATTGGTCGAGCATTCAGACTCACCCTGGCACAAGTCCTTGTGACTACCAATGAGAGACACAATAAACACAAGAAGTTACAGCCAATTCAATCATGTTGATGTATATCGTCTCCGAAAGGTCGACGAACTAGTACAGAAAGTGTCCCACCAGATCAGATTGTACTGACGAAAGAAGATTCACGTGAAACTGAAGCC